TTCCTGCTGGCAAGGGATGGGGCCGATGTGCGGCCAGATTCCACGCTGCTGCGCGCAGCCTCCTGCGTGGCCCCTCGAACGCCAGCCTTTGTTGAGAGCAGCTCTGGGCCTGCTGGGACTCAGCAAGCTGGTGCTGCTTCTGACAAAGGCACAAGCCCGTGGCTGGGGAAGGAAGTCTCCAGGGTCCCTGCAAACCTGTCACATTCGGCGCAGCAACAGTGTGAGCAGCAGGGCTGGAGCACCAGAGTCGTTTGAGCAGAGCAGCTCCTCTGGTGGTAGCCTGTTTGTGCCAAAGGAAAGGGGAGAGCTGAATAAATGGAGATAGTGCCAAGGCATGTCAGACTGGTCAGTGGGAATTGTCATCTCTAGGGTTTAAGTTTGATGGGGGAGTTAAGAGCAAGGGAGGATGTTTTCTTCCTCTTAAAATAATGTGAAAGGAGGCAGAAAAAGGACTCATTAAATGTTGACTATCAGAGCCTGGGTGATTTCCCATGTAAGTTGGCTCAATTCTCTGTTTACTCACAAATTCTGGGTCCAAGAAGCTTTCAGAGTAAAACCAATGGTATGGATTGGGAGCGTGAGATGGGTCTTGATCTCTTCCCATTGTGGCTGTAGTGCAACACAGTGCAAATAAAACTTGTTCCTTGACTGTAATTGGGACTCACTGTGTGTCCCACCTACTTAAAAACATTGGGAGGGCAAAAGTTTGGTGACCACCTCATATTTGTTCACTTGCCTTTTCCAGGTGAAACCCCCTGCTTAGTCAGTAAGACATGAGCTCAGTTCTCACCCTGCTGTTGATTCAGTGTGTGTCCTTGGTGCATCTTCTCTGCTGCAGATTTCCTTGTAAAGACTAAAGTCCCTCTAAAGTCTTTGGGGAAACCTAGAGATAGGTTTTCTAATCTTCCCAGCTGAATTAGAGTCCCAGGTCCTCTCTTCAAAGCTGATAATGAGGCTTGGGATTCTTAGATGTGTTGGTGAACATGCCTGTTAAGCCACCCAGCTCTGCCGAGGGTTGGGAGGCTGAGGATTAGAGGCAGTGCAAGAGAGCAAAGCCCTGGTCCTTCCAGGTGACATGGCCTCAAGTCAGTGTGTCTCAAGTCCAGAGAGAGGTCTGTGATTAGATAAAACCCAGAGTGCCCTGGCTTCTCCACAAGCTCGTTCTACGGTGTCATGCCCTCCTCCTTTCCCTTTATGATTGCAAAGCCATTGGTTGATATTTCTGCATGGAGGCAGAAGTGCTGTCATCCTCCAGCTGACCTACTTTCCTGGCGCATCTCAATTCATCTTTTACTGTAGTAGTACAGCAGGTGAGTGCTGGACTTCCCATGAAAGAGGGGGATAAAATCCACTTAGATTTCTAGATCTTGCTGGGAAAATAGTTGCCTCTGTTTCCAGAAATCTCTCTGGATCACTTTCTGTACTGCCTTGTCAGGCTAGCAGGAGCCTTGAATGTCATGAAGCATCTGTGGACCTGCATGGGAGACCTTTGGAGCATATGTGTGTGGTCAGGGCTGTGTTGCAGTATGTGATCAGTATGCCTGGGGCTTCCCCTGGCTTAGCTTCCTAATATTACAGGTCTACTACATTTTCAGCTTCATTTGTGGTTTTTTTTCCCCCATTTTCTACACTTTCAGCTTAATATTAAGAAACTGCTCTGATTTGGCTTCCTTTCAACTGGAATGCTTTGTAGAAGGCAGGATAGAGGGGTCAAAAGCAAGGATGGGTGGGAAGGGGGAAAGAAAAAAAAAAAAAGCAAGCCCTCCTCATCCTCTAAGGAACGTTGCCTTTTGCAGGTACCTGGGCTGAGCAAACAGCTCTTTTGGCTTTCTGAGCAGTGAGGAGCAGCGTACTCTAAATGCTCAGTGAGGGTGGTAAGACATCCAGAAGCTACACTGCCAAGTCCTTTGCAAAACATACTTGGTTTTGCTGCTGCAAAGTCGGGGAGGATGGATTGTGTATGTTCCCATCCCAGTGTCTTCATCCACTGTCCTGGTTCTTTGTGTGTGGGTGCAGAGAATGGGTGGGTGGATGACATGTGGACATAACGAGATGAATTTAGAGTACAGGGTCCTGGAGGAGGGCAAGTGTTTACCAGGTGTAAGTTGTGTGGCAAAGCTGTTCATGTGGTTTAAGTTGTAGAGAGGAAGCTGTTACACAAATATGTTGCCATTTAGCTTGTACACTAGAATCTGTTAGTTGACCAAGTTATTAATGAAAATGTGACCTGTCTCTTACGTGCTTTGCAGCTGAGAGAGGGGCATGACTTCTTAAAACATTGGGCTGGAATTTGAAAGATGGGTGTTGTCTTGTGCTCTCCTACTGTCTCAGTACATTTGGGGTGGGTTGTTAGATTTTTGTGCCTCCGTACTGGCAACTGATGAGAATGATTCCCTTTTCCTTGCTGACTGTCTATCTTGTTAATTTTGTCCCCACACTTCTGGAGGCAGAGGCAGTCTTTGACACATCCCAGGACTTTGCCTTAAATGAAAGGAGGGGGAAAGGAGGAAAATTTGCATTCTGTGATCTGACTGACTGCCATAAAGACTGCTGGGGGCAACCCAAGCACAAAGTATGTGGGATTTGAAGATTGGGTGCAGTGCAAACCTGAGGTGCTGGAAGGAAAATGCTGCCGATCACCCTAGCGATTAATACGCTAACGTGGGATCTCTCTGGAGGGCTGAGTTCAGCTCCTGACTGGAAGACATCTGGGCCCCTTCCCTGTGGCACGCTGCCTGTGGCAGGCTGGCACACCTGACTGTGCACACAGCTGCCAGCCCACTTGTGTGGCCTGGGGAGTGGGTGTTTTGGAGGGTGCTGGGGCATGGGTCTGAGGCAGTTGGTGCCGCTTCAGAGTTCCTGCAGGATCTTGGTCTTCCCTGCACGAGTGCAGCCAGCTGGGAGGGAGCTGGGACTTGCCTGGTGCCAGTCAGAGCGAATCTGCTGGCAGATGGATGCACGGGGGTGGGAATGGAATAGCGAGAGAGAAGGAGTGATAGGAGGGTAATGAGGTGCCTTGGCAGAGTTGTGAAATCAGGGAATCTTTACTGCTCATATTCTAGCTGCTGTCACATGTAACTGGTGCTTCTGTCACCAGTTCTTCCTTGCAACCTCTTCTGCCTGAAGTACACAAGAGCAAGCCTGGCTGGGTTTTTCTGCCTCCTGTCCAGGCTGGGAGGGGCAAACAGAGCAATGGGACTTTTGTTGTTTGAAAGCCACAAACCCTGCATGAGAGCACTTCTGAGGAAGATACATGATCTTGGCCTCCAGCACAGAGGGTTTGCAGCATCAGACTAACATTTCCAGGGAAAGCACCATGACGAATGAAGAGTTCCATGGGGAGGGAGCTCGTGATTCTGGTTGTGCTGTGTGGCCAGGTACTTCCTAGCTTTAATGCTGGCTTGGCAAGCTGATACTGTCTGTGGCTTTGGAGAAGTTATCTGAAGGGTAAACTGAGGCAGGAGGATTGGTAATATTAAAATTGTATTGAAAGGCTGACTCAACACCTGGAATGTGAAGTCCTGAAAAAAATGAAGTGCTGTCACTGCCTGACTCTATCCTTTCCCATCTGCTTTCCAGTTCCCACTGTTTTCTTGTATTCACTTTGCTTTTGGTTGTGTGTGGTTGCAAGCCTCTGCAGTTGTCTCTGAGTGCCAGATTTGATAACAGGCTGGGTGACAGGGTCATGGCAAGGTAAGATCGGGGGCAGCTTGTGCTCTTCAAAACCTTGAAATGCTGCTTGTAATTTTGCAGAGTTCCAGAACTGCTCCTTGGAGAAAGGCACTGCCTGGCAGGCTCTGCCCTCAACACAGTCACTGTCACTCTCAGCAAGCCACAGATCTGGATCTCTTGATAAATACAATGCCAAGGCAGGAGCCCAGGCTTGCTTAGCTGAACTCAAAGTCACACAGAGTGATTCTGAGTATGAGGGACAGTTGCTTGGCTTAAAATGTCCCCTGAAACAGAAGTAATTTTGTTGTTTTTATATATAGCACCAAGGGGGTTTGTAACCTTTCTTAACCAACACAATTTTGGGCAAATTGCAGAAGCTTTGCATGCTCCTAGACTCACAGGCAGATGCAGTGTATACTTGCTCAAATATGGTGCTTGTTTGTGAGATTATTTTTTTTAAATGCTGCATCTTTAACAAGCCCTTGATAGATGAGAATTTGATGCTTGCAGTGACAAACAGTCTCTTCCTTCCTGCCCATATGCAACATCATGCTTTCAGTTTCCCCAGCATTATTATGGGAGGATATTGATTTTAAATCTGTTCGGGGACGCTGTAATTGTATATTAGATATTTTGTGTTGGTTTGTAGGGCTGCAGTAATGCAAAAGGCTTGAGTGTTTCCGTACAATCTAGAGGGGGAAGATTGCTAAGGACCTTGAGGTTTTGAAGGAGGAGGGGGGGAGGAGGGGAGAAGAGATTGAGAGGGAGAGAGAGAGAGAGACAGAGAGAGAGAGATACTGTGGTAGGAAGATTCAGAGATCTGTTGTGCCTTTTTTGTGTGTGTGTTGTTTTTTTCCTCTCCTTTCTCTCCCCCAGTTGCTTTGCATCAGGGCATGAAAGGAGTGGAAACACCAGGGGGACAAAAGGCAACAGAACAAATGATGAAACTCAGTAAGGAAATCAACTGGATTCAGAATTTATAGCTTTAAAACGTTGCATTGATCAGTGTGTGAATAGTCATTATGTGCTTTTGGACTGCGTGATTAGGAAAGCAGATCAAGGCTCTCAAGATGATTATTTTTCTTACTTTCATTTTTTTTTCCTCTGCCTGTAATATATGTGTGCATGTGTCTGTGTGTGTGAGAGAGAGAGAGAAGCAAAATACCAAAGTCTTCCTGGTTTGCTTCTGCAAAGAGGAAAGTACAACCTTATCTGATACTCAGGTTTCTCATCTCTCTTCTAGATGAAATTTTAGGCAAGAGAAGAGTATGTTCTCCCAACAGCAGCAGTGAGTGTCCTTTAGAGAGCAAGAAAGCCAGAAGTGAGTCCCCAAAGGGTAAGTGCTGCTTCTTGTTCCCCATGCCCTTCCCCTTTCTTCTCCTTTCTTAAGAGTGGAACTTAATTGAAATTAAGGAGGGAGGGAAGGGAGGGTTCCAAGAGGCTGTGGTGTTGGAGCTCTAAGTATCCGGCACTGAGGGTGCTTGAAGGAGGCTACCAGGGCACTGTGCTTTCTTTATCTAATGGGAGGGAAGCTTGCAGTGCAAGGAAGGGGTGCATATTAATAAGAATAATTGCTTTATTATTAAAAAAGAAAGCTGCAGCATTTGAGGTGCATTTTAGGGGTGTTTCTACTTCTCAAGCAGAATGTCTTGATTACATGTTTAATATAAAAGATACGCACATGCTTATCATGCTGGCATCTGTTCCTTTAAAGGGAAAAAAAGAAGCCTAGCAGGGAGAATAGGGCTGCCTCATTCTTTCTTACGCATTTATGGCACTGTTCCTATAGAGATGGAATCTGCAGAAGGTCTCTCTTCCTAGGGATTATTTTTTAATCTCCTGATTCGTCTTACGGTTCTTTCCTATAAACACGATTTTTAAACTTTCTTTACGTCTGGCAGAGTGGAGTGGGTAATGGAGCCTGCAGTTAATGAGTTTGTCTGGAGGTTGCGTAAATGAGGTTTTACAGGCTGTTCACTTAAAGGCTTTGTTGTTAAGTTCAAACTAATTAGCTGTCAGTAACACCCATCTTGATCACTGTGCTTAACCTGCACTCTTTGACCAGTAAAAAAAAAATTTAGAAAAGAAAAGCAGAGTAGCTGTCTGAAGCTAGATCCTGTTTCATGGGTTTGGAGTCCAGCAGCTGAGACTCTTCAGAGTGTATATTCTCAATAACCAATCCAGAGAATCTCCAAGGGGACTTTTCTGCAGCAGTTTATCCTGAAGCCTTCTACATACCTTATGCCATATAAAGATATATTGTTGGAACCTGTACTGCATCCTAATTTTACATAACGGTCCCGTATGTTGTCTCTTCTTGACTTCTTGTTCCCAAATTATGATCTGAAAGGCAGCATACCCTGAGAGGATGTTGGATGCTCACTTAATGTGGTATTGCTAACACCACCTAAGAACATACTGAATCTTTTTTTAGCCCTCTCCTGCCTGTTAACTCTTTGATGCAAGTAAAAGTGCCTTAGCTTTTTATTGGGTTTTTCTGAAAAGTGTAAAGAGGAACCCCTATACTTATACTCTTTACCTGTTTTCCTTGATTTTTTTTTCATCTGCCCTACTCCTGTTATCCTTGAAATATTTCTAGGAGATGTGTAGGTAAGTTCCAGCAGGATGCTTGTGTAGATCCTGAAATGCTGGTTATACAGGGGGGTGAGACTCCTGTACCACACTTGATACACCTGCTGTTCCTGCTGAGCCTGTATCCCCTGTAATTTCCAAGAGAGCATGTGCTTAGGAACTGAACCCAGGGAACAGCAGCCTATGTGGCCTGGCTGAGAATAGGCTAAACTTCTACCATCTGAGTCCAAACTATTGCATTTGGATTCTCCCTAATAAAGTGGCTGAACTTGCATAAATGGATGTTTCTGCCATAGGAGCAGTAGAGTCCAATGCCCCTGTTGCCTTTCTTTCCTCTGGCCTTCCCACCATTTGTGTTTGCTGGAGTGGGTTGAGTGCAGTGAGGCAGGCAGGCAGCCCTGGGCTTTGCAGTGTGCACTCAGGATCTGAATCTTGCTCCTTAATTCTGAACATCTCTAAATGGGGATTCCCCAGATGATTAAGAGAGGGGTTCCTAGGAAGCCCTGAATAAAAGCAAACTTTTGTTTTCTACTCCCACTGTTTTTTCTCAGAAAGCCTGTTCTGCCCTTTCAAAGAGTGTGTGAGACAGGATGGAAATTCTGAGCAGGACCTTTTTCTAATCTCCCTTGTTACCTGTTTTTTATTATATTAGATAACTGAGGAGCCCGTGTTCTCTCCAACACTGTGGCAGGCAGTTTCAGCCTAGGCTGTGCTGATGCTGGAAACCATCAGGATAGAGAGGGGCTGAGCCAGGGCAGAGACTTTTGTGCTTTTGGGGCCTGTATCTGCCCACTCCCTGCTATGAAGAGGGTCAGAGGGGGCGCTGTAGCCAGTGTTTCTGTGTCTGAGGCTCCAAACAGTGAGAGCACCTTGCAGCTGAGAGCTCCCAGGAGACTTCCCGTCCTGCTGGCAGTCAGGTGGCATTCTGGTGGCATGGGTACCGTGGAGGGTGGGGAGGCAAACGATCCCTGTATTCCCAACTCTCTATTAAGGAGCTGGTTGGAAACAGAAGGTCCTGAATTATGTGATGAGCTGGTTTCAAACAGGATAGACCCTGGTGGGTAGTTACCTGGAATTTGGGAACTGCTGCTGTAGAGCAGTGCTGTAATGTGTGAAATTGTGCTGGAGACCAGAGATGCTGGGATGCAGATGCTGGGAGCGCAGTTTGTGATTTAGGAGTGGGAAGGGAAACAAGGAGCAGTGGGAGCTGTGTAGCCCGTGCAGCCCCACGCTGCATCTGGCAGGAGCCAGGTCTGCCCTGTCCCCTGGGGATGCACCCCTCCTTTTCCTCTAGCCTGGCGTGTGTCTTGTGTGGGTGCTGGTCCTCTGCCTTTGGCACTCTCCTGTGGTGGGGACTGTCCCCCTCTCCATTGCCCGCTGGCCCTGGATGTAGCTCTTGCTCAGGGCACAGCTGCATTGCCTCCGGAACGACCTTTTGAAGAGGTGAAGTGACCCCGTACCCGCGGCACATCTCGTGCCGCCGCGGCCGCGCCTGACAAGGCAAGGAGAACAGAGGCAGCCAAGTAAATCACTCCTTCTCTCTGACTGAGTGAAAAAACACCTGTAGGGCTGGAAGCCCTTCCAGCGGGGAAGCAGTAACCTTCCCTTCCCCCTTCCCCAGTGCTCTCAGTGTGTGCACCAGAGATCAAAAGAGAGCCCTATCTCAGCGGCAGCAGGGCCGCGGCAGCGCCGCTGTCAAACGGAGCAGAACGTTCTCGCGTCTAATATGGAAATGTGAGCATATCAGAGGCTGGGAGCAAGGGCTGCTGCTGGCAGGTCACAGAGGAAGCTTTCTCCCTGGGAGACAATTCCCCAAGTAAAATCCTCACTCCTGCAGCAACAGCATGTCTGGAGATCTCTGATACCTTGAGACATGAAATAAAACTGAACGATTGCAAAAAGAGAAAATCAGTAAAGAGTGTTTTGGTTCCTGTTTGAACCGCTGAAAAATAAGTCTGGTAGATGCCTCATCATTTGGGAAGATTTGAAACTAGGCTGGACTAAGTGCTGGAAAACTCAAGTAGGGAACAATGTTGTGCTCACCCCCTGGGGTGAGCTGATGAGCTCATGTGCTGCTCCTTCTGCCATTCTCTTTTCTTTGCTAGTGTAGATAATTTAAAACAAAATCTTATTGCATCTTTGGTTAATGAAGTAGACCAGAACAGGAGCTGGACTACAGCTGAGCAATGCAGATCCAGCTTCTGTCAATTTGTTCTTTTTTGGGGGGAGGGAATATCCATATGCTGATCAGTTTGGCAGCTGTCTAATTAGGCCAAATGAAGAAATGGTGTTTGGCCCCATTCTTGCTAACAGTTTCACTGCCCCCCAAACCCATTCTGCTGAGTATGGTGGGAGGAGTGGGCATGGGCCCTCTCTGCTGTGGCAGGTGACAAATCAGGGAGCAAAGACCCTAAAGATACTGACCAAGACTGGCTCAGAACCTGGCCTGAGGTGCTTCAGCAGCCGAGTCCATGAGCTTTTCCTGTGGTTGAGTAAAGAGAGGCTTGACCTGTCATGGGTTTGTGGTAGCACAAGACAGGAGACAGGCTGGGTGTTCCTGTCTTGACTGGGATTGCTTGGGAAGCTTTATAAAAGCTTGGTGAAAAGGTTGTGCAGCAATGACATCTCCTTCAGGCTGAGCTGAGAACCTGCGTCCTCTGAGAGCCTGAATTCCCTGCAGCTGCCACCATTGGGATGCTGTAGTGTTAGTGGAGAGTGGGAGAGGGGCCTTCTCTTGGATGGGTGAACAGGGAGGCTTGCTGGAGAATGTGGAGACCCAACAGATGCCTGACTTGGCTGGGCCTTCCCCATGACTGAGCCAGGGTCCATTTCACACCTGGTGGCTGGAGGAGATTTGGTGAGATCAGTCTCCCGCATGACCCCTGGTAATGACAAAAGCAGACAGCAAAGCTTCAGCAGAGCTGGAATTATCACTGGCTGAGTCATGTGAAATCTTCCACGTTTTAAGTGTGGAAATCCAGCCTTTCCCTGAACTCCTCCTTCTTCTTAGCCTCTGCTTGCCACTTCTTCTCCCCCTCCTTGCACCTGAAATCTGCTCTGTGGCTGATCGGATAGAGTTTATGGTAATTAAGTGTTATTAAATCCCCTCCCCCCCCCTTTTTTTTTCTCTAATGACACAGCTGTGGGAAAAAAAAAATAGGTGTTTTTCTACATTAGGTCTGTGACTGCAGCTTTGCTCCTTAGGCCTTTGGGTAAGAGCATCCAAAGGGTCCAGAAAGAGTTGGTGCACTTCTGTGTTCCTGGGGGAGGAGGCAGGAGTTGGCAAGAGAGCAGAGGAGGATGTGGGAATCTGGCCTGGTGGGAAGAGGACCTGGGAGGGAATTCTGTCCTCCAATCCCACTGCTCCTTGTCTTGAAAGCTTGGATACTAGAGAAGGGAAATGGGAGGGAGCAGGCATGGCATGGCTGTCTTCTTGTGCAGCCTCCTTCTTTCAGATCTGGTGTCTTAAGTGTGATGTAGACAGTATGGGGTGAGGACCCAGCTCCTGATACCTACTAGCTCAAAGCAGGCCAAGAACCTGTGATTTGCAGAGGAAGCCTGTGGTTCCTGAACTGCAGATACATGTCGCTGGGGTAGAGATTAGTGGTTGCAGATATGGCCACAAATTGCTATGGTGATTGAGAATCCTTGCTGGGCTAGATGGCTGACCTGAGTTGGAGGGGACTGAAGTCATTTCCCTTTTGCAGAGGAAGAGTGCCTGGGGAGCCAGTGATGCAACCCTGTTTTCTTGAAATACTGTGCAGCTCAGACATCATCATCATTATTATTATTGTTGTTGTTGTATTGTTTTACTGTTATAATTATTAGCTTCTCCTAAGTTTTGGGGAGGAGATGGTTTCATTACAACAGGTGAAGGTTGCATCCCCAAAATCAGCCCCTCTGTGCTTGGTTGTGTAATGAGTTTGGTGGCAGACAACATTTGCCACTAATAGCCTCTCATTCTGGCTGAGGCAGAAGTGAACCAGTCCCTGAGCTACTGTGGCAAGGCCACCTTTTACAGGTACCTTGTCCCTTGGACTGTATTTGCCACGGGATATCTTTTCTGGTAACTAGCTTAGGGGCCTTTCTCTCACCTGAGAGATCCACAGCTCTTTTCCCAGCAAAGTGTCCAGTGGCTGCATGTTCATACTGGTGCCTGAGCTCACAGCCACCACCTTGAATTCAGAGCCAGCCTGGCAGCAGAGTCACCTGCCATGATCCCCAAGGGACTCTGTGAAATGAGGTGGATGAAGGAGCATGAATCTGGGGCACCCAGTAGGGTGGTCTTGTCATTCACTGAATGCAGCAGGGTGGTCTTGTGACTGCAGTATGGGGGGAGCCCTTCCCACCCCATCCCTGCCCTTCTGCCTGTTTAGGTTATTCCTGGGAGTTCCTCTCTGAGTAATGAAAAGGTTTTGCCTGTGGGGAAGATCCAAGATAAAATAATGTTAGAGCAGCCACCACCAAGGCAGAGAACTGTAATTACTCTGAGTTCTGCTTACAGTAAACACAGCCTCTGTTGTTTTATCTCCCTGATTGTCAGACTGAGTTCCCTGCTGCCCAGGGAGCAGGCAGAGTCCTCAAAGTACCATCTCCCTCCTGGGCTCTGCAGTCATTCTGGGAAGATGGAGAGGTGGGCATGTTGGATGTAATTTTAGTGGCCTCAGGGTGCTTAGCCATACATAGAGATCTGAAACAACCTGCTTTTGTGCCTTGCTTCCAAGAGCTGGGCAGGTTGACTGTCATCACTGTGGTGTGCTTGTCAGCATCACCTACACTGGGTGCTTGAACATCTCTCACATCACTGTGTCCTTGTGGGTGCTCAGGGAGCTGGGGGGAAGGGCTGCATGTCTGATCAGGTATGCACTGAATAAAAGAAAGCATGTCCCCTAAGATGAAAGGGTGAGAATGCAGTGAACTCTTTCATCCTGCCTGTCCTCTTTGCCACCTAGGAGGTAGAGATCTTGCTGGTAATTTTCTGTTACCATAATGCAGTGCTTGTTGCTTTGGGGGAGGGGGGGGGAAGTTGTTCATGAGTTTTTTGGGTGCTTTGACAGTTGAAGCTCTAGAAGTTCCTGTATATAAGTGTGCCCATGTTTGGAGCTTTAACAAGTTGTAGGTGTGTCTTGTCTACATATAATGGTACATCTGGGAGCACAAGGCCAGCTGCATTTGGCAGCTTGGCACATCGAGTTCAGTGGATACACCACAGAGTTGTGGGAAATTGTGCTGATATAATATCCCTTTAGCCCCTTTCTCTTGCTTTTGCACTGTCCCTGTACTTATGTGATTTTCTACTGTATTTCTCTCTGGAAAAAAAAAACCAACAACAAAGACCAAATCTTTCTGCTCTTCAGAAAATTCCCACACGCCCCTGCTGGAGGACTCGGTGACTCAGATGACCCCAGAGGAGCACTACAGGCGCATGATGTCAGCACTGAACGAACACGGCACGTTTGAAGAGCAGCAGCAGCAACGTCTCTACCAGCTGGCCAACAGCATGGCAGTGCCCAGCCATGGAGGTATGGGCACTTGCAAAGGGGAGAAGGGACTTGCTTTGCCCTTTGGTGTAAGCCTTGCAAGATAGCCCCTTGTGTGCGTGTGAGGAGGATTTATGAGCTGCAGTGTTGCATATTTATCATACAGGTGGTGCTACAGACAGTTCCTCCCACCCTTTCTTTGAGGACATTTACCTTCATCCTTCTATAAATGCTAATGCCTTCTGTAGCTGTCTGTGGGGGCTATGCATCCTGGAATAGATTAGGTGCAACATCCCTACTGTGTATTTTGCAGTGGAGGTGAAGGGGGTCCTTTTCTGGCGTTGTTTCAAGAGTCTCTGTCAATCTGAATATTCAGAATCTGTGGTGTAAGTCTTACTTGGGTCAAAGTGTGGAGCAAGGAGAGTGTTGGCATCATTCAGGGGGCTTGTGAGGTGCAGGCAGTGCCCAATACTCCTAACACACAGTGATGGGATCTGAAGTGGCAAGATGATGCTGCAGGATTTAGGTAGGCATTGATAGTGGCAGGTTCAAAAGTTGCTACACACAAAGCATAAACTGGTGGTAGAGGCCTTGCACCTTAATGAGAATTAGATGTCTCATGATTTTATGGACAATTAAAATATGCAGATGAAGCTAGGTTGCAGTGAAGGCAGCTTGGCAGGCAAGTGCTGAAGTCAGTGGAATATGCTTATCCATGATACCATCTATTGAAAGCAATTTTGTGTCCATCACCAAGGACTGGTGTGGTCCTTCGCTGGCAGAAACTAGATCTGCTGTGGGGAGGGGAAAGGGTTGCTGAAAGGGAGAGAACTTCCATACCCAGTGTATCTTCACTTGTAGAGGGCTTTCTAAAAACATTGCCCTAAGGACCCTTTAGGTCACAGCTTCCAGCACTAAGAAACTGTCACTGGCAGAAACTAGATCTGCTGTGGGAGGGGAAAGGGTTACTGAAAGGGAGAGAACTTCCATACCCAGTATATCTTCACTTGTAGAGGGCTTTCTCAAAACATTGCCCTAAGGACCCTGTAGGTCACAGCTTCCAGCACTAAGAAACTGTCTCCAGACCTTCCCAAGTGTGGTTCTCTGAGGTTGACCTGAGCACTGGGGACAGCTGGGACCCTCTGATCCTGCTTTATTTAGGGCCTGTTGTGTGCATTGCAGCCTGTGCCTCAGTACCTGCCTGTTTGCTGTTTCCAGGCTTTAGCAGCACAGGAGTATTTCTGCACTGATATTTACGTTCCAGGGAAGATGCTGCCATTCTGCTCTTTAAAAGGTGCTTGGACCCTTCTGTCCAAGGACGGGAAAATCCCAAACCTGGTCCTGAAGCAGCTTCCTCATTAACCTCCTGTTGTCCAATTCTGCTGCTTTGTCCTGGGGCTGGCGTGGTGTCCTGAGGTCCCACGTGAACTGGAGGGTTGCTGGTGGGTTTTCCCGGGGCTGTGAGGAAGCTGGCTAAACCAACTCGGCTGCAGCATCCCGCGCTGTGCCTAAAGGGGGCACCAGGCAGTTACAGGTTCTGCCCGCAGAACGGCTGGGCAGAGCGTGGGAGTCAGGAGCATCCTTCATGGGCTGAAGGCTCCTGAGCCCTCGGGGACACTTCACCTTCTTCCCTCGGGCTGCAAAGCTGCTGGCACTGGCTCAGCTTGGTCCAGGGTAAAGCTGTGCATTGTCCCCCAGGCCTCTGATGCAGGAGTGAGGGAAGTAGCTGAGCTGTCTGGATCAGACAAAGGCAGGGAGGTGGAAGAGGTGAAGCTGTCCCAGGCTTGGAAGCAGAAGGTTGAAGGGTGATTGCAAAGTGGGGCTGTGCAAACAGCTGCACCCTGTGCTGCTTCCCACCCTGGGCTGACACCCACCTGCCTGGGGACACGAGGAAGGAGCACAGGCAGCATCAGTGAAGCATCTAGCAAGAGCTGGAGGAGAATCTCTGGCCTAGAGTGTAAATCCCCAGGGCTCCTTGTTAGGTTAATGAAGAGGCTGTCTTCTTTTCCAGTCTGTTTGATTTGATTGGCTTCTCTAGAGGCAAGAAGGCGATTCTTTTGTGGAGTAAGGATTTTCTTATCAGCAAAGGCATGGCATAAACCTGTGCTGAGGTGCACCATGGTGAACACAGCATGTGCTTCTATGTGTGCTGTTCACTGTTCCAGATGTTTACAAAGATGCAGAGCTCCTACAGGCTTGAATCACAAGTACAGGGCACAGCCACACCCCATAGAGCTGGAGCTTCCACATGTAGGTGCAGTGAACACAGTACATGAGCCAGCAATATCTAATGTGAACCATGCACAAAAGGGTAACACCTGCAGATGCTGAATATTCAACCATGACATGCAGGTCTGTGTAGACTGTGTTGAATACAACAGAGCACGTACTGAGCACAAAACATGTGTGCCTGTGTTGTGACAGCCAGCCATGACAGGGCCCTCAACCTGGGCACTGGGTGGCTGCTGGACACAGGGAACATGTACACCCAGGCACTGGGTGCTGCAGAACAGCTGGTATCACCCCCTTCTCCCCCGATGTAATGAGCAAAGTAGCTCATTACATTAAAAGCCTGACTTATTTTTTATGATTATGATTAAATTGTCTCATCAGCATTTGTTAGGTGAGGGGTCACACTGAGGTTTTGGAGTGGGCAGGGGGAGAAAAGGAGTCTGCACAGATAGACTTTCTTGTGTAACATTGACAAGACAAAACTTGGTGTATTTTTGGATTGTCTCCACACCACAGGGCTCTGGTTGGGCTATAAATTATTAGTGCCAGTACAAAGCGCAGTTTATCTGCGTGCTCACATGGAGGCACCAATAACATTAATAATTTAAAAAATGTTAATAATTTAGAAATCTTTTTTTTTTAATTGCTTTTCAACCCCCCGTCCTCCACCCCCATTCTCCCAGTGGCATTCATCCCACATTCTGAATTCAGTCTTGTCTGCGTGCCTGGAACCTCCATCCGCCAGCGTCCCACTGTCAATCAATCTGATTTCCCAACTGTCAGAGTGCAGGATTGTAAATAACAGATGGGTGCTGTGTGAGGGGGTAGGGGCACAGGGGAGGGAAGGAGGGGAGAGAAAGAGGAGAGGGTGTGCATGTGGGGGTTTGTTGCGGTCATTCAGGATCAATGCAGCTCCTGGAATTGGCTGCATGCCAGACTGCTAAATTACAAGCACTGTGGCAATAAGGAGTGACCTGGGTTTTTCAGATAATTAATTTATAAACATTGGAGGTGCACAGTCCCTGGCTCGGAGAATTTTTCAGGCTTTTTATGGGATCTGATGGGGTTTGTTGTTTCGCTATTTCTTACGTACTTTTGGAGTTCAAAATTGTGCTTCGTTTTAATGTTTGTCCCCTCTGTTGGGGGCATGGGGACAGGAATTGTGTGTGCATAAATGTGTGTAGAAACATTCAGGTGCCATTATTTATCCTTACTTCCAGCAAAAATGGCATCTGTATAAGCATTTCCATCCCAGCTTGCAGTCCCACCATGGGGCTTCAAGCCCTGAGCATCACCAAAATACTTGATAAAATGATGGGTGAATGGGGCTGGACACATCTTGGGGCTGATAGGAATATGGATAGCTGGGATTTCCAGAACCAAAGGAAAACGGCATGATGGCATAAAGGAAGGCAAGGAGATGGGAAGTGTATTGTTACCAGGGTCATGCAACACATACATTAACTGAGCTTTATGAACCAGTGGTGGGGAGAGGACAAATACGCTGCTTTGAAATCTCAGTATTCGAGTTGGTCCTGACCAGGGTGTGTTCATGAAGATAGATCTTCTCCTCCTCTCCCCAGCTGTGTTTTGGTTTCCTTTTGCAGAGTAGTGCACAGTGAACATATGAAGGTTTCCTCTAAGTGTGCATCTGTGTGTCTGTGTTTCCTGTGTATCATGTGAATGGCAGCAGAGGTTTTGCTGTGGGGTATTAGCAGGTTGTGGATAGGGTGTTTTCAAGCAAGTACAGGAACTAAGGGACTCTTGATGCTTATCTGGGAGAGAGTAGCACCCTGGAAACAGCCCCTGTCAGGGGGCAGCTGTCTGTGCTGACACCTACTCTGGATAGACTATACACGTGTGTGACCCAGGACGGCACAGGCTGCCTGTGCCACAGGTGGAGGGCTCTGCAGTGGCAGTGCAGGTCTAACGGGGGGTGCATTTATTTCTGATCTGCAGCCAAAAGTGTTGTGCCTGAGGCTGGAAGGGGCCCCTTTCTGTACCTCATTCTCCGTGGCCCAGCCCTTTCCTTTCCTACAGCAGAACTGTGCTAGGCAGGTACAGACCTGTCACTGTCACCCCTTGCCCAGGTGAGGGGGGGACCCCGCACCCCCCAGGCTCAGGGCGACTGACCATCTGGGGTCATCACGCTTAGGAAAACAGGTCTGGGTTGCTCTGCAGCTCAGCTGGAGATGGTGGGACATTCTGGGGGGGG